ACTGTTGTTTGTTTATATTTACGCAATTGTTTGAAATACAAATTGTACACAAACCCTTGCACACAACAGTTCCCTCTATACCCGGGGGCAAGTGAGAAATCCATAGGGAGTGGGTGGCAGGTACGGTTCACTGTAGTGATGGCCTTGTGCCCACCAGTGTGATCGGAAACCACCACTCAAAGTGATAACCTTCCTCTTTTGGCACAAAGACTGACTATGGCCTTAGTGCTAAGCATGGTCGGAAGGCTGGAGAGTGGGGACCCTATAATGGGGGCACCTTGGGGGCCTAAGCCTTAGTGAGAACAGTTAGAACCTACCCTTGCCAATGCACTTTTCTGTAGGAAAACCCTACCTCATGATTAAAACGACTTCTCGCCTGTTCGCGGATGAGTGAATTGTATGTGCATTTGTTTGTTGCATTTGATTGCATAGCATAACCAAACAACAGATAAAAACAAAATTTTACAATAAAAACCCTTATCTCGGACAGTCTGCCTTTTAGCTAGCCTGGTTTCAGGTTCTTTGTAAGCTAAGTAGCCACGCAGTCTGACGGAAGAGATAAGGGACGCTAATATTATTCTTTCTCCAATAAAACCATTTTATCTCGGACAGTCTGCCTTTTAGCTAGCCTGGTTTCAGGTTCTTTGTAAGCTAAGTAGCCACGCAGTCCGACAGAAGAGATAAAAGGCTAAAAAAATAAATCCAAAATAAATAAAATAATAAAAAAAAATCAAAACATTTATAAAAAGAATTTTGACAAAGTCGTATCATTCATATTGCATCATGCCATAAGTGGAAAAATCAAGAGAAAAAAATAAATGCATAAGGAAAGTATGCATACGCATCATTTTAATAAATCCCTAAAAAAATGAGTCTTAGAAGCGTTTTTTGGGAAAATTACTAGGCCAAATTGTAATCTGATTCCTCATCTTTTTCCCTTCGTTTTGATATGTTGTGCGTCCAAATCAGACATCTCAGTCAAAAGTTATGCCACTTTGAACATCTACCGCCCTTTTGTACTGGTGCATGCATAAATACATTCATTCTAAGGAATATCCATCTCATAAATCATTTGTTTTAAACAATAAAAATCTTTTTGCATTCTAGAAAGCGGCTAGTATTCTTCATGGCCTCATCCGCATACAAAAAAAACACAAAATCCCAAACACTATCATACATCATGTTAGAAAATAAAACATGATAACGTTTAGGAAAAAACGAACACTTGCGTACATGCATCCACCAAACTTCATCCTCATAACATGCATCTAATAATAGACAATCGAAGAAGTGGACATTCCTCAATACCATGAAAAGAGGATTAGGGCATTCGCATGCCATGCATGAGAAGTCAAAAAGAAAATAAATAGAAATTCTAACCTGCCTATGGGTTCATTTAGGCTTCTCCGCTTTTAAAAAAAAATGTACTTCGAAACATTGCATTGAGGAATGTACATTGTCTGCATGAAATAAATAAATTTTTTTTTTTCATCATCTCTTCAAGTGTCTATTGTATTCATAAATTGCATTAAAAAATTGCATTCATTCTCACTTTAATAATATTAAGATAATAAAAAGAAAAGATTAATCGATGTGCTTTCCACAAATCGGAATAAGATGAAGAGCAAACCTTTTGTCGTCAAGTTCTCTCCAACGGTTGATCCTCTTAAAGAGGATAATAAGCCTCAACCGTTGGGTATCCGAGTTAATAAGGAAGAAGGGGCAAGGATGTCGTTACATTTGTTCACCCCATACATCAAATAAGGCTGCACCATGGAGATACGCAAAAACACCGCCCATTAACAAGGATATCTCTAGCATAGCTGGCATTAGGGGCAAAATTAGAAATGGAAGAATCTATTCCCCCAAGGAGCTATAAGATGACGCTCCTACAAATAAAGAAAAAATAAAAAGACCGAAGAAAAACATAATCCAAAATGGAAACTGAGTAGACTTTGGAATTCACGACGCTAAGGCAGTTCTCTCAATGCTCTGCCAAAGAGACAAACTCACGGTAGGCGACAAGCTGCTCATGGTTCGAGCTAAAAGACGACATTCGGATTAGCAAGTCGTTTGCCCTACCTTGAATGGATGCGACTGAAAAGGACCTTTGAAATATCGTTTGCCAATAAGAGATGACTTCCCCAACAATATGAAGGTGACCCACATGATGAGAAAATATGGATATCGCCCAAACCAAGGGCTCATTAGAAACTCTCAAGGAATAAGGGAGCCACCAGATTATAAAGACAATCCTTTGAAGCTTACCCTACAAAGGATCAAGCTGCACTGAGAAAAGGGAAGTCTCCCCTCCGCAGCTCGAATTAGATTTTCCCAAACAAAGGGCTTCAAGCGTCAAAAGCGACTTTAGTCATTAGGTGTTCTCCTTCTGATTCTTAGGGTTTGTAAATCCAATGACTATTAGAGATTACTCCTCGGGGCTAGCCCGACCCTCGAGCATTGTAGGGCACATATTTCCCTATTAATTACAAAGAATGTCATTCTTATTATCTGCTTCTCTTCCTACTATTCATATCTAAACCTCATTAATAACCATGTTTAAACAAACGTTTCAAAAATGCGTCAAAATGCGCCATCGTCAAAATAATCAAACCACTCATCACCACTGATTGACTAGAAACACAAAATAAAGTTTTACCTCATCATAAATAAAGCCGTGTTTAGCTAATGTTGTGCAAAAAGAAAACAAAAATCAAAAGAAGCCCATAAAAGCTAAAGGCCAAAAGGAGAGGGCAAGATACCCAGTAGGAAACCCACAAAGGGGGCTACGCAAAAGTTAGGGTAAACCCGCTAGGAAACCTAAACAACCATAAAGGGTAGCCTAGGAAAAAATTAGGGTTACAAAATAAAGTCCGCTAGGTTTCCAAAGCAAGAAAAAAGAAACGTAGATAAAAGTTAGGACAAAACAAAACACAACATCCTAAGCTGAAAACCCAAAGGGCAGACTAGGGAAGTCAATCAGTCATAGCAAGTGCCATAGAATAAGACGCCACTCCATAAACAAAACGTTGTTTAAACTAGCCTAAACACTCTAACCAACCTTGGCTAGCCGTGCTTACAAAAACCATTTTTTGTCAAAATAAAACAATTCTAAAACACAAGCCTTTGAATTAAATATCCTCTTCTTTCTCTTCTCTTGACCCTTACCACTACGGCATTCTAGTAAGTAGTAGGGAAATGTGGAGATAGTAATCAATAGGAGGATTGACATCCCCAAGGAAAGGGAGGGGTGCACTGACATGGCAAGTCACTCTACAATTAACACAATCATTCTTCGGTCATGAAAAAAATCGAGACGGCAAAATTAGTACAGCCTATCATGTCGACAAAACACATAACGTCAGAAGATCATCAGAAGTAAAAGCACATTGGTTAATCCTTTGGAAAAATTAATTGAAATAGTATTATAGGATGCATATCACAAACATTGCATACATGCATAGGGTCCTTTCTCTCAAAAAGAAAAGAGAAATGAGAAAAATAAAAATAAAAAATAATGTCTGCTAGGAGATTCTTAGGCAAAAGTTAGGGTAGCCCGCTGTCGCCGCCGTCAAAACGAGGCGGTCGGAGCGACGCGATGGTTTTATCGACCCTCTTGATTTTCGCGTTTTTTATTGGTGGGTACAACGTCTTCAGGTTGTCCGATAACCGGGCTAACCTAGAGATGAGGTTTTCGAAAAGTGTCCTTGGGCTGTCCGATAACCGGGCTAATCCAAGGACTTATTTATTTTGGGTTCTATGGAGTCGCCACCGATATTTTTACCATAAACATCGGAAAAGGGGTTTAAAAAGGCGTTGGTTTTCGAAAACCAACTTTGGTCATTAGAACCAGAGTTGGGTAAGGGAGTTGGTTACGTGCAAAAGGAGTATTAGTCCCTTTGCGACGCCCCTTTCGGGTTCCCTATGATAGGCCGGCTTATTTTTATTGATAAACTAGAAAAACGCACTTTTTGCCCTTTTTATTCTGCGGAATTTAAAAGTGTGACTACATGGCCCTACTGTCTACCTGCATAATTTAAGATAAAAGCGGTAAAGGTGGAAAGAGAGAATTTGAACCTCCGAAGCACGCTTTTTATATTAATTCTCGGAAAAATAGGGTGCTTTATGGCAACCCTTCGCTCTACAAGACGTCGGAAACCTCTCGAACGCCGAAAATCACTCTTGAAAACACTCGAAACTCCGGAAATGCGTCGGAGGGATTCTAGAGAGAAGTTTTAGAGAGAAGGGAGAGCTATGCAGCTGTGGTGTGTGGAAATGAGGGGGAGAGCCCCTATTTATAGGTTTCCGCGTGTCGAGTGGCGAGACCGCCGGTCTCGTCCGAGCGAAACGAGACCGCCGTCTCGTTTGACGAAGCAACGAGACCGCCGTCTCGTACAATGAGACCGCCGTCTCGTTTTGCATAAGCAACGAGACACCGGTCTGGGTGAACGAGAACCCGGTCTCGTTTTCGTCGTCAACGAGACCCCGGTCTGGGTGAACGAGACCCCGGTCTCGTTTTCGTTGGCAACGAGACCCCGGTCTGGGTGAACGAGACCCCGGTCTCGTTTTCGTTGGCAACGAGACCCCAGTCTGGGTGAACGAGACCCCGGTCTCATTTTTGTTGGCAACGAGACCCCGGTCTGGGTGAACGAGACCCCGGTCTCGTTTTCGTTGGTAACGAGACCTCGGTCGCAGGTGAACGAGACTCCGGTCTCGTTGGAGCATCTTTCGCTCAAGCGAGTACATGTGAGTACATCGGTCGCTTGAGCGAGACTCGACCCGAAGTCCCCTTTGGTGGCAAGCATCCGTCGCTCAAGCGAGTACACCGGTCGCTTGAGCGAGATTCGACCTGGAAGTCCCCTTTGATTGCGGCACCTGTCGCTCAAGCGGCGGACGTACTCGCTTGAGCGAGACTTGACCCGGAGTCCCCTTCCACGCGAGAAACTTTATTTTGGGCCAAAAAACCTTCCCATCTTGGTACGGGAGCCTAATAGTCTCTCCTAGTGGCTTGTTAGGCTTCGGGCGTCCTCGAATAGGGGATCTTCCGACTTTATTTGGAGCCCGGGCAAGATTTGGGGTCTACAGCTGCCCCCTTTACCCATCCGAGTCGACTCGCGGCCTTCGTTGTCGGGAAGATCGACCGGAGGGTAAAGGAGTTGACCCTCTTGCTCGGTTGCCTTTCGGATGTCCCGTCTTGTGGCGGACGATCCTGCGGGAAATGTTGTGGTCGTGTGCCTCCGAGATACTACTTCGACGTAGCCGATCCTTTTGGTGAACTCGTGATAGAACCTCCGGATACTACTTCGACGTAGCCGATCCTTCGGTTGATGAGCATAAACCCCCATCGGCTGGTAGTTGCGATCCGTTGTGCGGGACTCGGATGGGTACGAGCCCCCCATCGAGGTGGTAATGGCGGCTTACGGTTCAGGTGGCCCATGCGCCAGCAAGGCGCTTCGTGTGTTGGTTGATAGGTATAAACCCCCTATCCGGTTGGCGCAGTCCACTGCGTAGGACCGGTGGTGATGGCGGCTACTCGCTCGGGTCGCTCATGCGCCGACTCTCCGGGAATGATTTTTGTGTTCGTGCACTTCCGGGATACTACTTCGACGTAGCCGATCCTTTCGATGGACACGTGGATAGAACCTCCGGATACTACTCCCGACGTAGCCGATCCTTCGGTTGATGAGTATAAACCCCTCATCAGTCGGGTAGTTGCGATCCGTTGTGCGGGACTTGGATGGGTACGAGCCCCCATCGGGGTGGTAATGCGACTTACCGATCCGGCTCGGCGCGAGATCAAGCGCAGCTCTCCGGAGAGTGCTCGCTTGTGTTGATTTGACTGCTTTCGGATTTCTTAAATAGTCATCCGGTTACGCGGGATTTTGTTGGTGATCAATCGGGCTTTGCTGATTGCTCGGTGGTCTTTTGTTCTTGTTCTTTTTGGTAATGATCATCCAATCCTGGCTGGTTGATTGGATGGATCTTGGTTTTGTTTTTTGTTTGGTGGTTGAGTCTTTATTGGTTGGTGCGATGGTTTAACCTCGCCTTTTCTCGCGGTTTTATCTCTTTTTTCCTCGCGATCTTAGGGTTTTGGCTTTTTCCTTGAGCATACGTCTTTTTTACTCTTAGTTTTTTGTTTTGTTTTTACTATGCTGACTTTTGGAAAGGATGGCAAAAGATGCACGAAATAAAATTTTATTCATGAGGAAATTTTATTACATCTATTTTTTGGAACTACTATCCCTAGGGGCTATCCTCTCGGACCCGATCCCCGGGGAGGGTAGTGCTGGTACATGTGATATTTGAAGTCTTCTTGCTCTAGGACTTCATCCTCGTACCTCGCCGAAAAGTTGCCCGGTCTTGGCGCATGCTTTGTTGGTACTGGTACATCTCCCCGGCCGGGTGTCAAAGGCCTCTTGCCTTTGTGACAATTGTTCCACTGTTTGGATCAGCCGTTCACGCCTCGGGACGCCTCGTTCTTGTCTTACGCGTCATGCCGTCGAGCCGTCGGCACAGTCGTCCATGTGGAGGTGCATGCCAGCAAAGTCGTCCGAATACCGGGCGGCTGCCGTCGATGCCGCTGCTTGCTGCGTCGTCGCTGGGAATCGGGGATGTGGGCGCGACTCGCATCACATCATGGAGTTCTAAGGCAAAATCCAGGGTGGGGTGGAGAGCCAGCTGGTTCTCGCTACGGATCAGCATTCCCATGCCGACCAAGATCGTCCCGCCGATGGACTCGGGACGCGAGTTGTGGGTTAGTTCTTCCCGTCCGGACACCCAATCTTTTCTCGCTAGGGGGTAATGAGGGGAGCAACGAGGACGCTCCCCACAGATCTCGTTCCCGAAGTCTCCGAGGGCTCTCGGGAAGAAGTACCCGTGGTTGCAGCGTCGCCTTTGGCTCATGCAGTATAGTATGAAGAGGTCGGAAGGGACACCTTGCCTTGACTTTCTTTCCTCGCATGTATAGTTCCCGCCAGCAGCTTGTGGCGGATGCGAGTGCCGGGGGAAGTGCAGATCCCCTCATCGCCGTAGGCGCGTGGTGGCTCCCGTGAGCTCTCGCCACATTTCGCCGGCGAGTAAGGTGGGCAGGCCGTGAGCGGACAGCCGTCACGATACTCCCGGCTCATGGCTTCCTCGGCCGGATGAACCCGATGTCCACGTTGAATTCTCTCGAGGGTAGAAGTTCGGTACGCCCATTCATAAAGTAGGTTACCATCTCGAGTGGGTGGTAGGCCCGGGACAGTGGAGGGACTCTCGAGTAGGAGACAGAGGCTAAGAATTCCAAAGACCGCCTGCGAGTACACATGTGTCGGTGGTGGGTGCAACAGAATCCCCATCCAATGCCGTCTAGATAGGCCCGGACGTCGTCTTCCCATCCGAACTCGGCCGGGATGTTGAAATCTAGCTTGAGCATGGGGTGCCATTGGTAGGTCCGGATGTTCTCAAGACGGGCCCGGTGTTGTGGTGCAAGCCGGGAAGGGTCCCGAGATGGCGGTGCTCGCGGAACTACTAGCACCAAGCAGTGCCCCTTCTCTTCCTAGAAGCACTTCTTCCAAACATATTGACCGGAGGGGGCTTGGGAGTGCAAGAGTTGAGGGAGAGGAAGTTCCGGGGTCAAAATGAGGTGTGAGGAAGCCCAAAGCCGCGCCCCTATTTATAGGGAGATTTTCCAGATCGAGACCGCCGTCTGGGTGGATGAGACGGCGGTCTCGTTTGTCTTCAGGAACGAGACGGCGTTCTCGTGCAACGAGACGGCGTTCTCGTTTTCGCCGACAACGAGACGGCGGTCTGGTGCAACGAGACGGCGTTCTCGTTCTGCGGGGTAAACGAGACGGCGTTCTCGTGTAACGAGACGGCGTTCTCGTTTTTGCCGACAACGAGACGGCGGTCTCGTGCAACGAGACGGCGTTCTCGTTTTCGCCATCAACGAGACGGCGGTCTCGTGCAACGAGACGGCGGTCTCGTTTCGCGGAAGAGAAAATTTTCTTTTTTGTATTTTTAATGCTTTTTTTGTTATTTTTTGAAAGGAGTAATAGGACCTGGTCTAAAAACATTTTATGCATGCAATGTTTTTTTATGTTTTGATGTCCTATAATGCCTATTTTGATTAAGTTTTCGGAAGGATTTAACCGACATGCCTTGTTGTGCTGAAAGCCCTTTGATTTGCTGCGTTTGTCTTTTGGCTGTACCATGCCGGTTTTTGTGACCGAAGGATAATCTCTTTCTTTCTTTCCTTCTATTTTTCTTTCTCTATTTTTCTCTTTTTGTTTCTTTGTTTCTTTTGGTAGAGCACTTTTCGTTGTGTAGTGTCCCTCTTTCCTTGTTTTAGGGGTTTCAATCCTCTTGTTGACTATACGCCTCCATATTCCCAAATTAATTATTAGAATATTGTTGTGAGGGTCAAGAGAAAAGAAGTAAGATGAGGTAAAAATCAATGGTTTGTGTTTTAGAGGGTTGATTTTTATTGATAAAGAATTTGTAAGAATGGTCGGCAAAAGGGTTAAGCCCGAGTGTTTAAGCTTTGTCTAAGCAAACATTTTCCCTTTTTCTCTTTTTTTTTTTTTTTTTTGTTTTTATTTGCGCTCTTTGGTTTTATTTCCATCGTTTTTTTTTGGATAGCCGGTTGATTTCCCTAGATCGCCCTTTGGGTTTTCGAACTAGGATACCGTGTGTCGGCCCTAACTTTTGTCTAGGTTTACTCTCTTGTAAAATTTTGGAGAAATCCTAGCGGACCTTTATTTGTAACCCTAACTTTTGCCTAGGCTACCCTTTATTGTTGTTCGGGTATCCTACCGGGTTGACCCTAACTTTTGTGTAGCCCCCTTAGTGGGTTTCCTACCGGGTAATTTTGCCCTTTTCTTTGGCCTTTGGCTTCTCTGGGCTTTTTCTCTTTTTTTTTTTTTTTTTTTTTTTTTGGCGAAGCGTGACTTTCTTTATGGCTTAAGTGAAGTCTTATTTTTACGTGCTTCTAATCAGCTAACTTGATGATGATAGTAATGATGAAGTTTTGATTATTTGGGAGCGCTTCTTATTCTTCTTTTTCTTGTCATGTTTGCTTAGACAGGGTTATTTATGTGGTCTAGTCAAAAGTAGAAAGAAGAGAAGCGAGATAGAAAGAATCATTCTTTATTAATTAATGAAGGAATATGTGCCCCGAAATGCCCGTGGGTCGGGCTCGCCACGGGGGATAGTCTCTAACAATCATAGGGTTTACATCCCTTAAACAAAGAAAAAGGTTTCCTAATGACTAGAGTGGCTCTTGACGCCTCGCACTCCTCCACTTCGGAAAATTTGCTTGAGTGTGCGGAGAGGGGACTTCCCTTTTATTCTTCCCGCTCGACCCTTGAATGGGTTATATCCTAGGCCATACTTGTGAGGATTATCCTTGAATTCCGGGGTTCCCTCATTCCTTGGGAATCTGCCCCGATCCTTGGTCGGGATGGTAGCCATGTTTCAACATCATACGGGCTACTTTGGTGTTCCTGGGAAGTCGCTCTATGTTGGCAATTTCGAGCGCTTGAAAGGATGTTTCAAGTGCCTCTTCGGCTGCATCCACATAGGGTTGGGTGGATGGTCCACCGATCAAGATATCGTCTTCTCGCTTGGACCGTGACCAGCTTATCCTCCACTATGAATTTGACTTTTTGGTGGAGCGTCGAAGGTATTGCCTTAGCGTCATGAATCCAAGGCCTACCGAGGAGACAACTATATGCCTGGAGCTATGTCCATTACATGGAAATCGATGTCAAAGATAGTGGGTCCAATCTGGATTGGCAAATTAATTTCTCCCACTACTTCTCGCTTTGATCCGTCGAAGGCTCGAACGATGGTGTTACTTGGGCGTAGACGGGCCCCCTGGATGGTTAACTTATCCAAGTGTGCATTTTGGCATTACGTTCGGGGATGACCCGTTATCCACAAGAACTTTGGCGATGAGGTATTCCTTGCATTTGACCGAGATATGCAAGGGCTTGTTGTGTTTTGACCCTTCAAGAGGGAGTTCTTCCTCCGTGAAGGCGAGGTGATCGCTCGCCGTAATGTGACCGACGATCCTCTCGACCTTCTCTTGGGATATGGTGTGAGGTACGTGCGCCTCACTCAAGACCTTCAGCAGGGCATTTCGGTGTGGTTCTGAGCTCATTATCAAGGATAACAATGTGATTTTTGCAGGTGTGCGATTGAGCTGGTCAATAATGGAATACTCGCTTTGTCTTATAAATTGAAGTAATTCCTTTGTCTCCTCCTTGGATTCTTTATCTTCTTATTCTTCTTCGGTCCTTTTATTTTTTCCTTTATTTTGGGGGACATCTTCTTGTGTGTCCTTGGGGGAGTAGATTCTTCCACTTCTAGTTGCTCCCCCAATGCCTGGCTATGTTTGTTATTTCTTCTTTCATTGGTG